TGGATCCAAGTAGTCTAAACAACTAGGTACATTTAAGCAATCCATCTTTCCCATCGTAAACACAAGTGTCAAAAACGTGATCAAATTACAAAATTCGTGCAATCAAATAGTCGGACATGGTATTGTATTTGTAGAAGAGAGCCAATAAAATAAAAAGATTCTCTTGGGGCATTTGTAAATATTAGTTTAGAAATACAGATCGACTAATTATAAAGGCAGAAGATGTAAGAGTGAATAAAAACCATTTCCCGTCAAATCAAAGGAAAGCTTGGATATGACATGCAATATGCAAGTATAAAGTTGTAGAGAAAAATAAAAACATTTTAACGTTGTCACGGATATTACGAGTGCCGTAACAAAGTGTTGACGAGTTTCACATGCATTTGTCAAAACAAGCTTAAGTAGACAAAGAGCATGCCAAAAATATATGATGGAAAACTTGCTCAGCGCATCTACAAGCACCAATTTCAGAGCTCGCTCTGTCACAAATTAATTGAGAATCTGAGCATGCGTTGTCAACTCCACAAACTCTCCAAGCTCATGGTAACGACCAACTGGATGTACTAGTACCGATTTTGGAGTAATTAGCTCGCTCAGTCACACGTTTTAAGACAAATCATCTGCGCATGCGCAGTCTCATTGAGCATGCGCAGTCAACTTGACCAGCTACCCAAGTTCATGGTCATGGCAACGACCAACTGCATCTACTAGCACCAATTTTGAAGTAAATAGCATGCTTAGTAACAATTTAATAGAGAAATCGTCTGCGCATGCGCTCGAGCATGCGCAGTCCACTCGAGTAATTGTTCATAGTCATGACAACGACCAACTATATGTACTTGCACTACATTTGTGTCAATTAACTCACTTAGTCGCAAATTATCAAAGAAATCATCTGGGCATGCGCAGTAACGATAACAATCATCCCACAACTTTCGTACGCCTTTAAATTTTGGTATATATATATAAAGCTAAAACTTCATATAGTAGATATCAACTAGCAGTGGAAGCTGGGTGCGATATAGTATGCAGTGGCTTAGGGGCCCACACTTCGGTGGCGACCGCACTCTCCCTGCGTACCCTGAGCAAAGCCTATCGCAGGTGATCTCAGGGTCTGATGGGCGGAAGCTTGCTATTGGCATCTCCCAAGTAGGATAGCGTGGAGGGGCCGAAATCTCCTACCGAAACGTTAACATGCGGCGTTCTAGTGCCTTGCGCTTAAGAAGGTATCGGGAAGCATGGACCGAAAACGGGGTTTTTTGCTTTCGAATTTTATCTTTTTGTTTTCTCATAAAACAAACCAAGCAATGTTTCAATTAACTTCTTATGACCCTGTCTTCTTCTGACACTTATAAATAAAGACAACCTTAAACATGTTTTATACCAATTTTATCGGTTTATATCTTTCTGATTTAACTCTCCCATTTACTGTTTCTCATGTATTACGAGCAAACCATACATATGTTTCATGGAAAACAAACAAGGATTATGTGGTTCCCTTAGTTCAGAGGCGACGCTCTAGTGCTCAACTATCTCGGGGTATCGGGAGGCATGGACCGAAAACGGGATTCTTTGGTTTTCAAAATTTATCTTTTTCTTTACAAGAATTCTTCTCATAAAAACTAGAACGTCCAAGGATACTTCAAAGGTTCAAACAACTTCTGCCTTTTGAACTATAACTTAAAAACTCTAAGCATGTTTATACGTTTTTATTTATTACCTTTACAACGTAACTTTCTCATAACTCTCTCGTGATGAACGAGAGCCTCCTTATACAATATGACTCTTTCATCATGAACGAACGCATCCATGGGCTTCACGGAAAAAAGGGATTATGTACTTTGTTATAATAGTTTCTACAAAGATAACATTTATTAGGCTAAGAAATTTGAAAATAAAAATATATTTGAGTTATTAGCAAATAACAAGTCGAGAATTCATTGATCATACTCATTCCAATTGGTCTGGAACAACCATGACATTTATAATTTTGACCATCCAACCCTTTATCAAGGGCTATATTGTTAATTAACGACAGTAACTTCATACGTCGTTCTTGCTGAACACCTTCAGGTGAAGTAGGATCATCAATAATCTGTTATATACAAAAACATAATTTATCCATAGAATCATAGCAAAGTTACGATGGACAGATGAGAGTTATTAACGCTATAAAACTTAAATTCAATATATCGTATAAAGTACCTCAAATCCCGACGATTTCTCGTATCGAAAGGATTCTAAAGTAAAGATGAAAATTAAGATGAGAAATTTCGAAGAATTGAAACTAGAGAATTTTTCAACAAAAATGTTGAAAATACCTGTACACTACCATAAGATTCTTCAATGTCTATACTCTAAAATAATAATCATAAAACGACAATTTCAAAAAGCATAAAAACTAAGTATTTGTAACATTGGTGAAAGATACAGGATGAACATGAAACCTTCTCAGAAGACGATGGAACGAGACCATAACCATTTGATGTGAACTTTTTCAAACAACGTTTGCGTAATCCGTTAGCATACCATGAAAACTAACTTCTGGTTTAGGCGACGCTTTACTAGCAACCTCCTCAACGTCTTCAGGACAATTAACGTATACTGAACTGGTGTCACAAGGCTCAATGACGATGACCAACCACTAGCCATACCTAACATGTTACCACCAGAGATCTTTCTTGGTAGATCAAGGTTTTAGGAACTTCAGACAAGGGTTGTGTTGAGCTGAGAACTAAAAAGAACAAATATGGATAGATGATGAAGTGGAGAACAAGAATAGAGGTTATAGAAGACACACGTATGCTCATTGGTGTTTCACAAGAGTATACATTACAGGATAACTATGGATCCAAGTAGTCTAAACAACTAGGTACATTTAAGCAATCCATCTTTCCCATCGTAAACACAAGTGTCAAAAAAACGTGATCAAATTACAAAATTCGTGCAATCAAATAGTCGGACATGGTATTGTATTTGTAGAAGAGAGCCAATAAAATAAAAAGATTCTCTTGGGGCATTTGTAAATATTAGTTTAGAAATACAGATCGACTAATTATAAAGGCAGAAGATGTAAGAGTGAATAAAAACCATTTCCCGTCAAATCAAAGGAAAGCTTGGATATGACATGCAATATGCAGGTATAAAGTTGTAGAGAAAAATAAAAAACATTTTTAACGTTGTCACGGATATTACGAGTGCCGTAACAAAGTGTTGACGAGTTTCACATGCATTTGTAAAAACAAGCTTAAGTAGACAAAGAGCATGCCAAAAATATATGATGGAAAACTTGCTCAGCGCATCTACAAGCACCAATTTCAGAGCTCGCTCTGTCACAAATTAATTGAGAATCTGAGCATGCGTTGTCAACTCCACAAACTCTCCAAGCTCATGGTAACGACCAACTGGATGTACTAGTACCGATTTTGGAGTAATTAGCTCGCTCAGTCACACGTTTTAAGACAAATCATCTGCGCATGCGCAGTCTCATTGAGCATGCGCAGTCAACTTGACCAGCTACCCAAGTTCATGGTCATGGCAACGACCAACTGCATCTACTAGCACCAATTTTGAAGTAAATAGCATGCTTAGTAACAATTTAATAGAGAAATCGTCTGCGCATGCGCTCGAGCATGCGCAGTCCACTGAGTAATTGTTCATAGTCATGACAACGACCAACTATATGTACTTGCACTACATTTGTGTCAATTAACTCACTTAGTCGCAAATTATCAAAGAAATCATCTGGGCATGCGCAGTAACGATAACAATCATCCCACAACTTTCGTACGCCTTTAAATTTTGGTATATATATATAAAGCTAAAACTTCATATAGTAGATATCAACTAGCAGTGGAAGCTGGGTGCGATATAGTATGCAGTGGCTTAGGGGCCCACACTTCGGTGGCGACCGCACTCTCCCTGCGTACCCTGAGCAAAGCCTATCGCAGGTGATCTCAGGGTCTGATGGGCGGAAGCTTGCTATTGGCATCTCCCAAGTAGGATAGCGTGGAGGGGCCGAAATCTCCTACCGAAACGTTAACATGCGGCGTTCTAGTGCCTTGCGCTTAAGAAGGTATCGGGAAGCATGGACCGAAAACGGGGTTTTTTGCTTTCGAATTTTATCTTTTTGTTTTCTTCTCATAAAACAAACCAAGCAATGTTTCAATTAACTTCTTATGACCCTGTCTTCTTCTGACACTTATAAATAAAGACAACCTTAAACATGTTTTATACCAATTTTATCGGTTTATATCTTTCTGATTTAACTCTCCCATTTACTGTTTCTCATGTATTACGAGCAAACCATACATATGTTTCATGGAAAACAAACAAGGATTATGTGGTTCCCTTAGTTAACATGCGACGCTCTAGTGCTCAACTATCTCGGGGTATCGGGAGGCATGGACCGAAAACGGGATTCTTTGGTTTTCAAAATTTATCTTTTTCTTTACAAGAATTCTTCTCATAAAAAAACTAGAACGTCCAAGGATACTTCAAAGGTTCAAACAACTTCTGCCTTTTTGAACTATAACTTAAAAAAACTCTAAGCATGTTTATACGTTTTTTATTTATTACCTTTTACAACGTAACTTTCTCATAACTCTCTCGTGATGAACGAGAGCCTCCTTATACAATATGACTCTTTCATCATGAACGAACGCATCCATGGGCTTCACGGAAAAAAGGGATTATGTACTTTGTTATGAGAACAAACCTGTTAAGAAAACAGGTTGTTATTTTTATAACTATAAGCTGTGTACAAAAACAAAGTGAGAGAAGTCACCATCATGCATAAAATGCTTTGTACTTTGTTATGAGAACAAACCTGTTAAGAAAACAGGTTGTTATTTTTATAACTATAAGGTGTGTACAAAAACAAAGTGAGAGAAGTCACCATCATGCACAAAATGCTTTCTGATACGTAGATGAACACTCGTATTTACTAATTAGCAGACCTGTATATATTATATATTACAGATAAACTTCAAAAATACTTATCTTCCATCTAGCAATCCAGTATCAGACTCTCTTAAATTATTTGGTAAGAAAGTTTTCTGTATTCCAAGAGTTGTTCCATCCATCACCACCTTCTGGGGGAATTCTTCCACATAATTCACAAAAAAACCCATTGTGAAAATCAATATCAAGCAACCTCAATAAGAGAAAATTCAATAACTTAATAAAACAAGCGATCACTATCTCAATGGAATATTCATATTTTGCAGCTGAAAATGAAATGATCCTTACCGTATCATGGCAATGATAGCGAGACGAAACTTGGCGCAAGTTATTTCCTTTGGGAAATTCAAATTACCCGAAGACACTTGCCTTTGTACATATGCAACATAATATTTGTACATAGGTAAACTGAACAAGAATAAAAAAGAAAAAACATTCAAAAGATATAGTGCGAGAAAATTAAATAATGGACAAACGTAGCTACTAATGCTTCGGCAAATTTTCATTAAAAAGTACCTCGACGTTATGAAAAGCCGAATGTAATCTTTTAGATCGGCATGAGATATTGCATATGATCCAAACCATACAATCCTGTTTTCAATGCCATCATAATGCTTTTTCGTAGCACAAGAGGAGCAAGGTCTACAATACACTAAATAATTTATTTAAGTCAAATAATTATGAAGTGAAGCGTAACCTATAACAAATCAGAACTTACCCTTCACATCATGGATTGAACAAAAGTACACAAGTCTACGTACAACCATTCATCTTGAATAGAACGTTTATCCCACTCTGCACCACAAGAACAAATACCACTTTCAGATGGCGCCAAAATTTTATGACCATTTTTTTCAGGAAGATCAGTAAAATCGCTTGCATCATTCTCATTGCCTAAAATAATTAAATAGTAATATTTACAAAATGCTAGAAAGTGCTAAATACCATACCGATAAAGGAAATAGTATATGTAAAGCTAAAAGGATGTTCACCATTGCAGATTATCTTGCATACCTGTTTCAAATAAAGAAACCTTTTCTTTGCTAAGTGTAGCCAATTCAAAATAGTCTCGCATCTGGTGTAATTCCAAAGGAAAACTTAAAAAAGTGCCAATGGAGAATCCATTTCATCCTCGTCAACGATTTGCATGGCTTTTGCAAGGGTTGTCACATGAATGCAATGATATGACGAATAGCTGCAACATTTTAACTCGGGCTGGGGCGGCATTACTTTTGAATACACTAAAGTACAAACCCCCCATGGACTATTCACTGGTTTTACAGCAATCCACTGAACCTCCCTGCACACTGCACTAAACAAGTCCTAAAATATGTAAAATCATTTATCTTTAAGGTTGTATTATGTGTGTGTATGTATGTGTGTGTATGTATGTGTGTGTATGTGTATGCAGATTAATAATTATGATTAATTATGACTTCACAAAATCCTTAGAAAGTGCTTAATATATATATATATCAGGCACGTAAAGCAAATGGTGAATATGACTTTACTATTTTTGTCATACATTTAGTTTATACTACTTAATGTATGTACTGTAAGTATGTGGCTATGTATGTATGTGAGTATGAATGTGTATACCTCAATAGTCATAAATAAATTCAATTTGCCCTGTTGGTTATCACCCTAATAGCTTTATAGAAGCTCCTGAAATTAGGCACAGGATGTATGGTAACAAATTGTGGGGTATTAGAAGGTTGAGAAACAATACGTGTATTTGTACAAAAAAGTTATTTTCACATAACAAAATATACTTCTTCAGGTTGCATCTCATGGTAGGAATGATCACTGAAAACAGACTGCATCATGGATGTGGATTCTGCATTCATAAAAGAAATTCAATGAGATAAATATATTGTGTAAATAATCATTCACAAGTTTTAACAATATTTTTGCTTGTAAAGCTGTGCTGGTTAACATCCACATGTAATAAGAACAATGTCGAACAAGGGTCTTGTAAAACACAGAAGGATGACTTCACAAGGGTTTGAAATGTACAATAAACTGATATTTAAGGATGAAGACATTTTCTCCCATACCACATGAAGAACTTTACATTGAAAAAATAAGCCAAATACAAATTTGAGACATTCACTACATGCAATGTCAGATTAATATGTAACAAGTTCTCACATCTTTGACAAGGGTCTTGAAACAAATAGTATGTAAGTGTAAGTCAAAATTTGGTGAAGCTGTTCAGACACCTTATATCCTGAAAGAGTAACACACAACACTTACTTTTTTCAATAAAATCTTTGGCTTCAATACCAAACTTTCTATCATACACAACCAGATATTTTTCCATTGCTAATATGTGTATGCAACTAGGATATGGTATATCTGACAAGTACAAAAATGTTGTTTGGCCTGTTTTAATCATTTCATTTCAGTAACATCTATTTTACATACCTTTTTGAGGATCTAATTGTATATTATTAGGTAGGGCATCAACAAATTGCTTTCTATTTGCATCACATGAGCAGCACAATATCCAACCATAGCCATCAAGCAATAGGTGGGGATATCGATGTACAAATACAAATGAATTATGCTGAAGAAAAAAATACATGCAGATTATAGCACCAAAAAAAGCATATTGAGTAATATCATTTAGTTGGGTATATACCCAACATTGAAATTATGGAAATAAAATTTGACATCACCATAATTGTTCTTTTGTTTGCATTATAATCATGAACAACAAAGGATTGCTGATGTGATACATTTGATGCAAAGTCAAACTGTAACAATAGCCCAGTATAGTGGCCAGTGGGTGACAAATGACTCTGAAAGAGCAAGTACACAGTAATTATTAATGTTCACTGTTTCAAAAATATCTATTGTAATATATTTTTATGTTTGTTGAGCACATTTCTACCAGATGTTAATAAAGTTTTGCTAGACAGTGTTTCATGCATAAGCAATCAACAAGCATATTGTCAATTTATAACACATTAAAAACATGACTAGTGGTAAACAGTATAAAGTATAACTGTATATGTGAGAACTACTTGACTATGTTGACATGGTTGTTTGGGTTCCTCTGTAATAATAGAGATAGATTGCTTGGTAAAGATATCTTCAGAGTCCTACAAATAAAGACCATTATTTAATTTAAAATGTGTACAGACTTTTAATAAGTGTTTAAATAATGCATGCCTTCTTTAAATTACTTCAAAATTTTTTAGTTATTTCTAGTGAAAGCAGTCCTACATATAACCACTTCCAATGACTTTTCATGAGAAACAATATCAATATGTACATTAAAACCTGTGTTTTGGTGGTTAACTCTTGGTGCTTGTCATAATTTTCAGCAATATCTTCACTTTGTTCATTCTACATATAAATAAAAAAAAACCCATAAACATAGCGTATTTTTATATCTACATAGTTTTACAATATATGTAAACTTACCAAATCCCCAAATTCATTTTCTTGTTCAAAAAATTGAGATTCATATGACACACTGCTATTCTATTAACATATATGACATTGTGATTAAAGGATGTAGAGAATCCAGACTTGAAATTGGAAAATGTGCTCCGAATAAGTGTTTTTCCTTACACCACATTGTGGGCATAAATAAATTTGTACACATACTTTTGTTAATATAACTGTGGTAATAAAATAAATTAATATGAAATTGTGCAACCAGAAACAATAAAAGAACACTTTAAAATTCCTACCGCATCATCTTTTTGTGTGTTTCCTTTCCTCTCCACGTTATTGTAAAAGAAGTCATTTGAGCGTCTGAATTTCTTCCTGAATTGATACATTTTGCAAGTGTACCCAAAAAATAATACCCCGATTTATAAAAACCAGTACTGCACGTGTTCTTGGATTGACAAAGTTAGCCTACAATTAGTCTAAGTACCATTCTCCCAGCCAGACTTCCCGATAGATATTTAAAAAAGTACTAAGCATAGTACTGAGTGACTGAGCCCTGTTGATCGATTGCCTTGCTTCGAACTTTTGATGTTGCAAACTCCTAAAAAATATGAATACGCGAAGAAATATTGTCCTCATACATGAACTTTGATAAATTTAGTAAATGGAAGCCCTGAAATTTCTTCTTAAGCTGCACCAGTCGGATAATATACACAACATAGTTAACATACCCTTGTTCAGAATACGCCTTTTTGAAAGCATGTCCATAATTATTCACTATCATCCATAGAGTCCTTAAGTGGTGACGTCACGTTTCCATGGTGCTAAAAATCTCAGTTCCAAACAAGCGCCCATTCGATTCAAAATGGAGACATTATCCATCGCTTCGCTTTTTTCTTTCTTCTCAGAAGAAAAGAAATCTATAAAAAAGGGGGAAAACCACTTAAGTCAGATCACATTGAAGCATTTACTTACCAGCAGAGTGTTTTATGAGGAGAAGTACACGCAAGAATGAAACAAAAGGTTTATAAAGTGACGGTGAATGCCAAATGTCAAGATTAAGTTTTACACTGTTTTGTTGCCCAAATGAACACGAGGGCGTGATTTTCTCTTTAGTGAAATAAAAAGGCTTTTAATGAACGATTTGTTTTAAAAAATAATGATACTCGTCGGTTTTCAGTCCTCAAATTGACCTACCACTACGAGTTTGGTGTGAGGGAGTTGTGGTAACAGGCTATACATATATTTGCCTTTTTATTAATAAACACAAGAATAACATGGTATTTAAAAGACATGGAAATATGGTACATCATTTAATGTTGTTTTCCTGGGGGGAAGGGAAATTCCCATATAAAAGTGATGGGATGCTCATGGGAAATGTTCCGTAAGACTTCTTAAGGGTAACTGTGGGCAGTACTTGCTTTTATTTTTATCCCCAAAAAGACATCCTATTGTAAAACATGCGTCAAAACTTCTTTTAACTTCTGTTCTCCTAAACATGATAAAAGAATTCTCAGTGATCTAATTTGACACCCTATGTACACCAAGGCTGCACCAGATGATAAATATTGTAATTCCTAGGAGGTAAAATCATCCATTTACTGTTATATTAGAATGCCCCTCTAGCTGTATTTTCTTCTAAGTAAGCCTCAGTCTACAAATTATTTTATTTCTATTTGAACAACACTAATTATTAAAAAACTGTCCAATGTAGTCTTCAAGCATAAAACTACTCAAAAACCATATCGTCCCATCCCTCTTTGATGAGAGGAAATTGCAAATTTACAAGTGCTGCACATAACTGAAACAAAATGTCAGCATAGCAATCAAATACAAAGGAATGACGCCTAAAATTTTGAAGTCTTTCAGCCTAGCATTGGCTCTTTCGACATGAATCTGCTTTAGCTATGGCTTTTGTTTTCTTGACCTCACTCTCTGTGAAAGTTCCATTATTCAGAAAAGGTGGAATATTGACACAGACACCATGTGGTACAACATCCTGGATAAGGAAACCCTTGTCCGCCAGAATCATATCTCCAGCTGTCAAGTGATTAAGGAGTCCAGACTGTTGCACAATGGCCTTGTCTGAAATAGAACCTGGATACAGCCGACTGACATTAGAAATGACTCCATTTGGTGCAACACCAACTATTTCCTTAAAGGAATTCATTCCTCTGTATGATAAATAGGTTGCATTTTGCTGACTCATCAATCCCAGTGCAGCAACCTCAATATCTGTGCAGTCTATAACAACCGAAAGGATTCAAATTGCCTGAAAGAGGAGGGTGCAGAGATCTTTTTTTTCCCAGGATGGAATCGACGTCATTAGGTCAAACAAAATTTCATGCAAAACATGAGTGAATGTTATAACTATGTAAGAAATTGTGGCCACACTACAATGAAACAATTGGGTTAGGTGAAGCTGTGTGTAGTTCTGTCGTACTTTCATTAAAGTGAAAAAAATTTGATCCTCAAAATTGATGCATTATACCTTCCAAAACACTAAGATTTGGCTACGGAAAATACAAAGCGACCGTTAAAAAGACAACTAGCTGAAGCTTCTATAATTCAGTATTCGATGATTCTCCCTCATGTCCTGATGTCAACTCTTCACGTGAATAGAGTCCGTAAATCTCACTTAAAATCTCGTAATTCATCAAATGTTCACTGATTAAGGAATTCTTTTTAAATATCAGTTCACATACCTTATGAGTCGAATCCATCTCTTATACTCGTCGTGGAAAAGCGAAGAACTTGCAAGTGTTGCCTACGGTGGCCCACAAGTACAAGCACACTTACACATAACAGCATACGCGAACAAATTCGAGGATGCACACTTACACATAACAGCATACGCGCACAAATCGAGGATGCACACTTACGCATAACAGCATACGCGCACAAATTCGAGGATGCACACTTACGCATAACAGCATACGCGCACAAATCGAGGATGCACACTTACGCATAACAGCATACGCGCACAAATTCGAGAGTGGCCCACAAGTACAAGCACACTTACACATAACAGCATACGCCCACAAAAATTCGAATACTAACAAACGTAAGTTCAAAATTAAAAAGGAAAAGCCGGCAGTCTATTACTTGACATTTCTTTCCGCTGCTAAACACTACTTTAAAGACTTATGGAAGATATCATTCGCAACTATTTTACTAAAAACTACACGTATGATACAATTCTACAGCTATTACAAAAATATCATGGAATTCGCATCTCTAGAAGTACTTTGCTGAATAAGCTTAAGCTTTATGGATTGCAACGACGTGGAAATACCGTTGATAAAGACCACGTAAGAAGATGCATTGTTCGAGAACTAGATGGAAGTGGTAAATTGTTGGGCTATAGAGCCATGTGGAGACGATTGCAGTCAAAATATGGCTTGCAAGTTCCTCGTTTGGTTGCTCAAACCACCCTTCAAGAAGTGGATCCAGAGGGATCGAAATGGAGACGGGCTAACCGTCTTCGTAGAAGAGCTTACATGAATCCGGGGCCAAATTATTGCTGGCATGCCGATGGTTACGACAAACTTAAACCGTATGGTTTCCCCATCCATGGGTGTATAGATGGATTTAGCAGGAAAATACTGTGGTTAAATATAGTTCCTTCAAATAATGATCCCCGCGTAGTGGCAGGCTATTTTACGACTGCATATCTAATATGCAACTCTGTCCTAAAATTCTTAGAACAGATAGGGGAACAGAAAATGGGATTATGGCATCAGCCCAGTGTTTCTTACGCCGAGATGGTACGGACACACATTCTGACGTCAATGCTCATCAATATGGATCATCACACAGCAATCAGCGAATAGAAGCATGGTGGGCCATGTTACGTCGCTCGTGGGCCTCGTGGTGGATGAATTTTTAAGGATTTGATAGCTAAAGGGTTTTAGACACAAGCAACGTACTTCAACTTGAATGTCTATGGTTTTGCTTTAGTCCTGTCTTAAAAAAAGGACTTGACCAAATCAAGGAATCGTGGAACAGTCACTATGTACGCAAATCCAGGTTTTACACTCATGCGGGGATCCCTGATCAGCTTTACCTTCTACCTGAAGCAGTTGGAGCTGAAGATTTTCAGAAACAATATGACGACGAAGATCTTATAGAGATTTACAATTCAGTTAATGTGTCGACAGAAAAGGTCTCTACATATAAAAATACTTCTCGTATAGTGCTGGTGTGTTACGAATAGGACAGATCCAGACATGGAGAGAAGCTTTAATGGCATATGAAAGACTTCTAGAAGCAGCTTAAAGCAAATAGCAATGAACAAAACATATTTAACATTAATAACTCAAAACGATAACGTATATGGTAATCTTATAAAGAAATAAGATAATTTCATATTCAGGGAAGGTCCATAACCTCCATCTTCATATGACACCACATCATTGTCCATAAAATCTTTTTTAACAAAAGTGAACTAAAAAAAGTGTTTCTACAATGTAAAACACAATATAATATGTCATAATAGTGTGCTAAAACATGTGATAGAACTTTCATACAATGTCAAACGACCAGGCACTTTTTTCTCTTAGGATCGACGAAAACTCCTCTACAAGTTCATTATAAAATTGATAAGTGCTGGGAATCTCTAGAAATGGTCCACATGTGTGTGCTACAGGACGACGTTGTAAACCATTAAGTTCTGTAAATGACACTTTTAACTTTTGACCTTCTAAAATGATATCAGAACCTGTGGTAAATTGAAGGAACGCGGTTACGTTGCCACCTAGAGACTTTATATAGCGCACCAAATGATCAAATGCATTTCGTTGTGCCTCATTTTCGGGAGGCATCTAGAATTTTCAAAACCTTTTGGACGTGGGTTTTCTTGGTAAAAGCAAAGAATGCTTGCAACATCTTGAAACGCAGGATGACTTTTCAATGATTGCAATATTATATGAATGTTTTATGCAGTGCTTGAATTAATGAGATATGATTCTTGCTGGACATTTGTCGGGACCTGAAAATCAGACTCAACGGTGACTCATCCCGTTGAGTCACCTGATTTTTTCAGGTCCCGAGACGATTGCTTAAAAAATTGTCCAGCTAAGTGCGAAGATCATATCTCATTTAATTTGATTGCAATATTGTTGCCCAACAATTGGAAACGTACCGCGGTCTTTGGATAAGTTCTTGGTGAGCTAATTGGCATAATATATCTTCAATATTTTCTTCTGTGGGATTGAGATAGCACTTGTAGCTTCCTAAAACTTCAAGTAAGTCTTCATTTTTACATATCTGTGATCGATTTTTCATTAAGTTATCAACCACTTCTCTCTCGTCTTCAGCCATATACTCCATGAAAGAGTTTAACAGCACTTCACAAGAAACACTGTCTTCACCATGGAGAGTACATGCAACAAAAGCTGAACACAATGTAATGGGGAACACTCCTTCTTTGCAGTAGCCATACAACATGATTCTAGCCACTGCCTCCCATTCCAGCTTTTGATAATCATGACGAATGGCTGGCACCTTGGTAGATGCTCCAATAGATAATGACTGATAAAAAAGGTGCCAAAACTCTGTAAGAAGATCACGTGCAACACCTCTTCCTTCTCCCTCCTCAAACATACCTCTTGCATCAACTACTTTAAAAAATATAGTAGATTTCAATACATTTGGATTATAAAATTCTGTTATCATATCTTTCAAAAGGGTTGTGCGATGGATTAGCAGATCTAGCACATGCAATTGTTCCTCGGGTAAATTAACTTGAGCTGGTTGTACAAGATTTGGCTCTGGTTCAATAATATCTAGTAGGGATTCAGTTACATCTAAAAAATAAATTTAAAATACAAAAACAATGAAATATACAAAATGTATAGGATACATATGTAACAAATCATTAGTTATACCTGCATCCTGAAAAATTTGCGCAGGCATTTCACCTGGTTCCATAATGATTTGCTCAACTGAAAATGAATCAACCTGAAAGGAAACAGCTTCCACACAACTATTATCAACATTAACAACATTGCTTGGAACAGGATTTGTTTGAACATGGCTGGCCTCCACTAGACTAGCTTTTACAAGACTAGCTGGAACAGCATTGGTATGAGCATGATTAACTTCCACAAAATTATCTGGTGTTGCATTGACTTGTTGAGAATTTCCCAGTTCACATATAATTTGTGAAGAATTTTCTTGCACAGAATTATCTTCAAAAACATCAGCAGTATCTGGAACAACCGCTTCCTTGAGGTCTTCAGTCAAATCATTGGCTACTAAATTTAGAATATAACATAATTACTAACCCTACAAACAAATTCTTTTGAAGGTTTAATGTTAGTTGCAAGATAATTATTCTAAGGCATTTTTAACTTTTATGTACTAGGGCATTTTTCATTTTGCTCTGTGCTTGCCCCAGTAGTGAACCTTTATTCACCAGTAAAATACAGTCAATAGGCCCATTCAACTCTGGGAAGCTCAGAAATGTTGCTTCAATAAAATGTGACTGCTTTTGATTATTTATTGCATGACATATCAGTTTTCAATACAGCCAGTGTTTGTCTTGTGCAATGCCCCTAATGCTCACTCCAGCAGTCTAAATGCAAAAAAAATACCCGGACTTATTTTGAACTCAGTGTTTACCTTCAAAATCAAGCATTTTGCAAATGTACAAATTTACTCGACTGTATGGACGTCCAAGTTCATTTTTATATTTTTCCACAGAGAATTTTTCACTGCTTCCAGGAATATTTCTCACGATATCCATATCAGGGTAAAGTAAAAGCCACTCAGTTTCATTATGATCTCTGAGATGTCTGTTGTGGGCAAGCTGTTTCTGAACTCCGGCATTCTTTACAGGAACTAATGTATCTGATTTTCGAACATCAACAGGAAGTAAAGAAGATCTTCTTATTTTAAGTCTTTTACCGTCGAGTTCAATTATTCCAATCTTTATCTACAACACAAAATTGAGTTTCATTAACCAAATTTGTATAATTGGCATAATCATAACATTGAATACACATACCTTCACTACTTCATCTTTCTTCTCCTTTTTTTTTATTTGACTAAATCGTTCATTTGACTTCCTTTTTCTAATAATTTGAAAGGTAGACGAACTACCAGCGCGGTGGGAATTTCCTAGTTGATCGCCACGATCAGTGCAAGGATTGGCGACTGCGTTCTTCTTTATGTACTCTTCGAAAGTTAACGGTTGTTGACTTGAGGCCGAAGGTTTAATTTCTGATACACTTGCACCACAGTTCTCGCAAAAATTTGCATTTTCATCCTTTTCTTTTCCACAATGTGGACAAAACATCGTTGGGTTATTGACTTATTGCTATTGTGAACATGTGAATCATGAAATATTTCTCGCCGGCAATCTTTTCGGTTTTTGCAGCCCGATTTTACGAAGCGTCATGTAATAAGCCATGAATGTGAATATTTATTTGTGCGCGTATGCTGTTACGTGTAAGTGTGCATCCTCGAATTTGTGGGCGTATGCTGTTATGTGTAAGTGTGCTTGTACTTGTGGGCCACTCTCGAATTTGTGCGCGTATGCTGTTATGCGTGTGTGCATCCTCGAATTTGTGCGCGTATGCTGTTATGTGTGTGTGCATCCTCGAATTTGTGCGCGTATGCTGTTATGTGTAAGTGTTGTACTTGTGGGCCACCGTAGTTGCCCTCCGACGAATGTATAAAAAGAAGCAAAACAGTAAACCATTTTGCCCGTTTGACCCGCGTCCTTTACACTTCTTCGACGAGTTGATCCCTTGGATGACCCTTTAACCTTTCCTATTTTTTTATTGTCTTTGTGGGATTACACTGGATAACTAAAGCTTTAGACATTCAAAACAAAAAGCGTGTCCAAATCGCTCGCATAAGATATTTTGTTTAGAACTGCATTTTTAGCGCCATGGTAACGTGACGTCACACTTAAGGACTCTATTGTAACCACTATCAACATCCTAATGTCATTGGTCAAAATAGTCACATGTTTGATTTACTTTTGCCTTTCATTCTGTCATTTCTAGATATCAATTTTCTTATTCGTCCCAAGTTCAATCAATAATAAAAAAATATTTATTGTAAATTTTATTATAGCAAATGAACGTGACGCCAGGAGTTTGTAAATTACATGCAATTTTTCGTCGTATAGTGAACTATCTATCTTGACCTTATTTAAACCTGAACATTTTACGAAGATGGTTCGAAGTTCTCTGCAATCTCTCACCAGTTTAAAGAAGCAAAAGACAAAGTAGGATCTTTAACACAAGATCCAGGGAATGAATTGAAGTTAAAGATGTATGCCCTTTTTAAGCAGGTATTTTACGATTCATAAAGATATTGTATCCGGTTTTTACATAAAGCTTGAACATTAGTTGTTGTATCTCCTACCTACAAGCTCTTCAATTAAATTAAATGGTGACTTTACATTTTTAATGCACAATTGCATCATTGCATTTGAATCACATTTTGCAAAGGCACAGTGAATTTTTCAATTATAACTGTTCACAGTCCCACCATACAATACAATCAAAGTTAAAAATAAGACGAACCAAATAACAATATACATTTCAGGGTTCTTTAGGCAAATGTAATACACCAAAGCCTGGGACTTTGGACTTTGTTGAAAGGCAAAATGGAATGCATGGAACGATTTGGGTGATTTATCACAGGTGAATATTTAGTTTAAGAAAGGCTGCACTTATCTTATAATGAACATTCAATGTGTATCTAGTTTCAAACATCACAAAGGACTGTATCTTTCAACAATTTTATTGAACACTCTCACAAGTCTTACTAAAATCTATCGTCATAAAATTATTTAGTAAAAAGTTGTTTTGTGCAAAGTTGACAGCACACGTTAAAGGTCATTCCATGTGAAATCAACAAATAGAAATTCAAAATGTCACCCACCCATCCCAGATTTTAACAAAATTGCACCAATTGGGTATAAGTGAGATATGAAAGCACACCAAATTTGAGCTCAATATCTTTATTTGTTCCCTGATATCGGGTTTTCAATTTTCCACCGGTTGTGGGTTATAGCATTCTTTATGAATGGTACACAAATGTATGGTATTTCAACTGTGTTTCCTATCCTTTAACTCTATATACAGGAAAACTGGTGATATACCATTTTAAGACATGCTAAATCAGAATATGAGTTCAAAATATCATTAATTGAAAGAAATGCATATTTTCTATGTTAAACAATGGTATATATATATCCGAAACCATAAAGGATCAAATTACAAACCGAAAATCCCATGTTGGCAATGTAGGACCAAACTCATTTTGGTGTGGTATATGAATATATAATGAGGATTAATTTCACTAAGTTTTGGCTTGGTGTCTCTTCTTCTTGCTGAAAATATGCCAACAAATATATGGTTGAAATCCTATGTAAATTCTTAATTTTATGGAACTGTCATATCCAGCATTTGCAATCATCACCTTTAGAAGTTGTTATTTGATCTTCAATAATGTTAATATATTGTTCAGTACTGTACTGTACTTTTCAAGTTATGTTACATGCTATCCGAGTTATTCAGCAAGTGCTTGCTCAATTGTGGATATGTCTTTGTCACTCAACTTGTATTGTCTTCCTGTTACTGTTACTGGTGCCTCAATGATGCACAACACATTCATAATTGGTACAAAACATACCTCATCTTTCTTTGGCCAGAAGAAGGATCTTGCTGGGTAGCTTGGATGCATAAACTTGACTTGAACATCATCATGTTCCTTATCTACTACATCAACAAGTCCAACCCAAAGTTTCTCATCATAAGCAAACAATAAAGTCAGACATGTTTGGATCTGCCAGCTTCACTAAGTTTGTCTTTCCCAACACTAGATTAAACTCTAAGGCATACAATTCATCTTCGAACACGTTTAGCAGCCATAACACTTTCAGAGGGGGATAGGGATGAAAGCCTCTTGTGCCAGGAAGAGTAGTTGCAGTGCTATACCTTGTCCAACATGCTCTGATAGGAACCATCTCCTCTGCTGAAATAAAGATAAAATGAACCCCTTTGACTTCTTCATTACAGTACTCGAAAACTTGTGTAAAAATGCGAAGTTCTTTGTAGACTGGCTCTTGCTGTCAATCGTTTCAACGTACCTCAAGGCCATCGCACGGAGATTTGCCATGGGAAGCGAAGAATGACCATTCACATTTCACATTGAAGTCCTTTTCGTGAAGGCACAAGTTGATAAAGTTCTTATAGTTCTTATATTGTCCTGCACAGCCATCGCTGAAATAATGCACCATACTCAGTGTTGTGAAAATCTCATCCTTAATATAATGAACAGTTTGTTTCATGACTTCATAAACAAAGCAGGTATCATGATTCAAGTCATCTGAGATATTGAGATAACAAAAAAATTTTTTACAAAATTTGAAATCCACCCCTCCCCCCTGAAAATGAATTTTATAATAATTCCAAATTTTCATCAAAAGACTGTAATTTATGCATTTGAACACATTTTCCTTCACAAAAAAATTTTACAAAATTTGGATACCACCCCTCCCCCCCTGAAAACAAATTTCATGATATTTCCATATTTTCATCAAAAAACTATAATTTATGCATTTGAACACCTTTTCCATAACAAAAAAAATTTTCCTAAATTGGGATACCACCCCACTGAAAATAAATTTCTTCATATTTCCATATTTTCATCAAAAAACTATAATTTATGCATTTGAACACATTTTCCATAACAAAAAATTTTACAAAATTGGGATACCACCCCTGAAAACAATTTCATGATATTTCCATATTTCCATCAAAACTATAATTTTTTGAACACATTTTCCCTCACAAAAAAATTTTACAAAATTGGGATACCACCCCTCCCCCTCTGAAAACGAATTTCTCCACATTTCCATATTTTCATCAAAAAACTATAATTTATGCATTTGAATACATTTTCCACAACAATAAAATTTTTTACTAAAATGGGAATCCAATCCCTCCCCCTGAAAACGATTTTCATGATATTTCCATATTTTCATCAAAAAACTATAATTTTTGCATTTGAACACATTTTCCATAACAAAAAAAATTTGACAAAATTGGGATACCACCCCTCCCCCCCTGAAAACGAATTTCTTCATATTTCCATATTTTCATCAAAAAACTATAATTTATGCATTTGAACATATTTTCCTTCACAAAAAAATTTTACAAAATTTGGATACCACCCTCCCCTGAAAATGAATTTCTCCATATTTCCATATTTTCATCAAAAACTATAATTTATGCATTTGAACACATTTGCATAACAAAAAATTTTTACACAAATTGCAATCCAAACCTCCCCCTGAAAATGGTTCTTATGATAATTCCAAATTTTCATCAAAAAACTATAATTATTGCATGTGAACACATTTTCCATAATAAAAAATTTTACAAAATTGGATCCACAGCTCCTCCTGAAAATGAATTTTATGATAATTCCAAATTTTAATCAAAACTATAATTTATGCATTTGAACACATTTTCCACGAAAATAAAATATTTTACAAAATTGGGAATCCACCCTCCCCACTGAAAACAATTTCTTCATATTTCCATATTTTCATCAAAAACTATAATTTTGCATTTGAACACATTTTCCATCACAAAAAAAATTTTACCAAATTGGGATGCCACCCCTCCCCCCCTAAAAACGTATTTCTTCATATTTGCATATTTTCATCAAAAAACTATAATTTATGCATTTGAACACATTTTCCATAACAAAAAAAATTTTCCAAAATTGGGATACCATCCCTGAAAACAATTTCTTCATATTTCCATATTTTATCAAAGACTATAATTTATGCATTTGAACACATTTTTCACAAAAATTTTACAAAATTGGGATACCACCTCTCCATGAAACGAAGTTCTCCATATTTCCATAGTTTCATCAAAAAACTATAATTTATGCATTTGAACACATTTTCCACAAAAATAAAATTTTTTACTAAATTGGGAATCCAATCCCTCCCCCCTGAAAACGAATTTCATGATATTTCCATAATTTCATCAAAAAATTTAATTTTTGCATTTGAACACATTTTCCAAAACAAAGAATATTTTACAAAATTGGGATACCCCCCTCCTTCCCTGAAAACAAATTTCTTCATATTTCCATATTTTTGTCAAAAAACTATAATTTATGCATTTGAACACATTTTCCATAACAAAAAGGTATTTGTTTGGGATACCACCCTCCCCTGAAAATGAATTTCTTAATATTTCCATATTTTCATCAAAAAATATAATTTATGCATTTGAACACATTTTCCAAAAAAAATTTTACAAAATGTCATTCTTTCCCCTGAAAACGAATTTCTCCATATTTCCATATTTTATTCAAAAAA